TCTCACTGACAGTGTCATGCTATGTAGTGCAGGTTGGCCTTGAATTCACTCTGCAACTCAGGCTGGCCACATACCCACAATCCTCCTGCCTCAACCTTCAAAGTGCTGCGATTATAGGCGGGCATCACCAGGCCTGGCTAGTCTTTACTCTTCATACTTTCTTAGTTTTCCACTTGTTCTTTTAACTGCTTTAAAGCTGATTCTGAATTCCCATGTGCACCAGGAGCTTAGTGCATAAGGACTCTCACATCCTTGGTGGAGTCGATTTTTAGGTGAGTCGACTTTTAGGCAGGCCCAGGATGCATTAGAGAATACAATATGAAACGAAGCCCAGTGTGGTAATAAGAAAGTGGAAAGATGCCATAAATTTGTTTGCCGGAGGATGAAGCGTGGCTTGGCGGACAGGGTGACTCTCAGAGACACTCTGGAGATTGAGCAGGCTGTGGAGCAGAGGAAGGGCATCGCAGCAGTGGGGACAGCACGCGGCAGAGGAAAATGGCAGAGGCTCTTAGGAAACAGACCATACTGGGGACCCCTCTGATCTCCCTTGCTCCAATGTCCGAACATTTATGTGATTCACTCACTGAGCTTCACCCACACTCTCTCCTGCCTGCCACCCGCTCCCTCTGTCACACGGATGGGTCTGATCTCCTCTGGCTGGCGTAAGAGTAATGGGTGCTGACAGACATGTCACGGAGGGAGTGGAAGTGGCCGAGCACAGAGGGGCTGAGGAAGACACAATCTGAGAAGTCCCCATCCTGAGATTTTTGGAGGTCAAGAAGAAAGGACTGGAAATCTCACAAGCTATCTGACTGGTGCTGCTGGAACCCAGCAAGCGCTCTGTGAATGAAGGAAGGGAGGATGAGATGAAGGCGGCTTTGCTGAGTCTCACAAGGGCTTGCTCTCAAGGTGAGTCGTTTTAAAACTAAAAGTGCAAAAGTTAAAAAAAGGGATGTTTGAAAAGCAGTACCTATTTTAAGGAATAAAACACAGCAATAGAGACATCTTTCAAAATGCTACAAGCAGCTAAAACCAGAGGTCCTATTGCAGCTGGTCAGCATTTTGCAACTCTGAAGCAAAGTGACTGGCCTGGGTCTTCCCCTTTGTCAACCTGCCTGGTTAGCACAGCCTGTGGGCACCGCCAGGATCTCAAAGGCAGCAGCCGCCCCAGGAACCTGGGGCAGGCAGGAGGACTGCCGCACCCGGAGGACACTGTGCTTGGCGGTGGATGTCCATGAGACACCACGACACACACGCGTTTAGGATACACTGCTCCATTCTCCGCAGACACTGATCTGAGTCCACAGCCGTGCGAGGCTGCGCTGCAAACACCTGGCAGTGAGACTCCTCGGGTACACACTCATCTTGGACTATCGGGAGGAGCACAGAGAAACAGACACAGGCCCGGGGCTGGGCATGATGCCATTGGTCCCCGTGGAGCCCAGCGCCAGTGCCAATTGTGGAACGGAGGGATTGCGCTTGGCCTCGGCTGGACACCTGAACAATCACTCTGCTTGTGACTTTCAGGGCAGTGTTTCATAAGTTCCATGAGATCATCACGACTTTAGTGTAAAGTAGGCTTGAGGGGATATGATTTTACCCAGCTGTGACTAAGACGAGCGCTCGCAGCCGGTCTAGCTACACAGGCTGTGCTATGCGGGCCTGGTCAGTAGGTGAAGTGCATTAAATGCATTTTCCACTTACGATAGCTTCAGTTCTAAAAGGGTTTCTTGGGACAAAATCCCATATCAAATGAAAGTCCTACTGCATTTGGTCAGCATTTTGCAAGCTTTAAGATGTACACAATGTATGCCTCACTCCTGGTTTTGTTCTCTGTTACGCTCCTGCTTTAGCCCACAGTTTTTACCAATTGTTTTAAAGTTATTTCTACCTTAGGCCTTTGGGTATATTTATGTGACTTTCTTAAATTCATTCTGCAACAGGAGGCAGCATATATATGTCAAATGACAGCACATACTGATTCGTGAGGGAAAGTGCATGGGTTTCTTCATGGCTCTTGAGTTCAGCGAAAAGTGAGTCTCAATACCAGAGAAAATCACTTCTCAGAGCTGAGCTCCAAGGCTGGACCTGCATACAAACCCAGACAACGCATTCAAGACCTTTGTGTTGTCACTAAGGTACTCAGTTCACAAGCCAACTTCTCGAATGTGTGTATTACCGTGTTTATGTCCAGGAGAAGAATGTCAGCGTGGAGTTCATGGATTGTAATCAACACCTAAGGAGCAGTTCGTGGTCTAATGGGTTTTTCATTGGCTATCTCTACAATTCCCACTTCGGGGGACTGGGGATGTAGCTGAGCGGCACAGCATCTGCCTGGCAAGCACAAGGTCATGAGTTCAATTCCCAGTACCGGGAATAAACCCAAAAAAGATTAAAAAATTTCCCACTTCAGGTGCCAAGCAGTGGGTCTAAGGAGCAGGGACTCTGCAAACTGGGCCAGAACCAGTGCTGGAGAATTGTGCATACACAGGGCACGCCCCACCCAAAGTATGCCTGGTGTCAGAGCCAAAGGGACGAGTGTGACAGCCAATAGCACCGCCTGGGGTCCTGTCACTGTGAGGCCATGCTGGAGACTGTCCACATTGTGCAATGAAACCCCACACATGTGTGCATCTGTGTGTGTGTGTGTGTGTGTGTGAGCACACATACCTGAAGCTTGACCAATAACTGCAAGACTCATAACTTGCAAAATCAGCCACAGTGCGCTCTCTTACACACACGGCTAACAGAATAACTGCCGGCCTCAGCATGAAGCAACCAGAGGCGGGAAGAGCAGAAAGAAGACTTGGCTGCGGAGGCGCAGGCAGAGGCAGTCTCACACCAAACCCAACAGGAAGCAGGCAGCCCTGGCCCATGCTGCCCCCAACATTCACCGAGCACCTACTCCACGCAAGAAATGCTCCTTCTCCAACTTGACTCAACTGGCCCTTGGCCTCAGTTCAGCATTAAAATCTCTCCTACTTTCTGAGTACTTCTGTAGAAAGAGTCCAGCTGGTCCCACTGAAAACTGGACATCGGTGACATCCAAGCATGTGGATGACATCATAGAAAGACAACCCCACCTTCGGGCATCATCTCCCCCACTGATCTACCAGGAGCAAGAGCGATGCTCCTCCCACGGCCCCTGCACTGAACCTGTGGCCGGCCTCCCGGAACACAGGACGTTTCTCAGGCAGGAGGCTGGGGGCATGCTGGGAAGGCTTCTTGGTGTCTCTACTTCCCCCCTTATGTCCAGCCAGCATCTGGAACAGCAGTCTCCTTACCCTGCCCCTCCACATCCCTGTCCCACTCACCCACTGTCAAGCTGGGTTTAGGTGCCACTCATCAGGAACGGGCATCTGGGTCACTGTGTTTCCATCTTTTTCCACCCAGTGCAACTGTACCCCACACTAACCGGGCCAAGCCTGAACTGGATGATTCCTCTCACACCCCCTGTGTCCACGCAGCTCCAGCCAGGCAGTCAGCTGAGAGCCACGCAGTAGCAAACCTAAGGAGAAACCAAGTCTGATGTTTTGCCCCATGCTCACCCTGCAGTCTCCCAGGCAGAAAGCACAGGGACTCGCTGGTGTGACCTTTGCCAGTGAGTGTGCGAGGGGATGGGCATTTTGTAGAGGTGATTCTGGGAGCCCAGGAATGAGGGGAAGTAGACCTGTGTGCGTCACCCATGACACCTCCTACCCCTTTGATAGTAGGGAGTCCCTAAGTGGGCCACCCATTTTTCAGCACATAGCACCCTGTTAGTGTTCACGGAGTTCCTACTGCACTTGGCCAGGAGGTGCAGCCTCAGGGGGCTTACATCCTATCAGGGGCGAGAACACAGGGCAGCTTCTACATCACCATGTGACATAAGCCAGGTGGGCAGGAGGGAGATAAAGAAAGATAAGACAGGCAGGGACTGTGTGCCATGGGGCGGGGTGGGGGACTCCTGCAGGAACAGTGGGGACAGTGCCTTCACCCCAGGAGGCCAGGTATGCACAGAGCTCCGATGAGGACAGGGCTGCAGGATGAATGGACCCAGGGCTTGCTGATCCCAAAGCCCAGCCACAGCTGGGGGGAATGAGAGAGGTGGGGGTTACGCACTTGGCTTCCAGTCAGATTCCCTGAGGTTCACATTCCTCAGTGGGGCAGTGGGATCAGGGTACCTGGTTCCCCAGACTGCATGAGAGGATACGGTTAATGCTGCCTAAGATAGCAAAAGTACTATTATTGTTACAGGCATAGTTTTACGTAGTACACAACTTGTGAGAAACTGCAAGCCATTCTTTCTACTACCTTTAGTTTCACTAAATAAATAAGTTCTGAGCTTTACTCTCAAACTTAAGAGAGCTATTCCTTTGGGTTGAATCTGAATGACTTCCAGGAGAAAGAATTATACTGATTATTATAATCCGTATTGCAGTCATAATAACTGCAACTCTTGATTTCTAAGACAATGTGAGGGATGAATATACAGCGCCAACTTCTTATTTTGCTGGATAAGAAGAAGTAACGAGCAAATAAACATACCACCTATTACAATTAGACTGCACAAAAGACAGATTATTTACCACCAAGCAGCCTCAGAGGAAGAGCAACTCCTCCATGGAAAGATCACGGTTCATGGTCATACGCTCACATATAGACACATGTGTGTGCATGTGTGTGTAAGGAAGCAGACACAAGCTTGCTGGACATTCTCTCTCTCCCCATGTGTGTTAATTCTTATCTCTCTCTCTCTCCATGTATGTTAATTCTGTCCAAATAAAGGGCTGGGAACCACACCTCGTTCTCTCACATGTCCCGAGAACCTAATACACACATGCACATATGTGTATGTATGTTTGCTCTTATTGGCTCATTTTTGGGAAAGCCAGTAAACACGACCATGTCACCCTGTGTGGACAAACTCCTACGGGCTTCTGCTCACAGGCACCACTGGAGACATCTGAGGTGTGAGCCGGCCACAGCTGGGAGGAGCGTGGCCGTGGGGAAGCGCTGACCTGCGGGCACGATCACCCTGCGCTCGTTGGTGGTCATGTTGGGAGGCGGCATGTGCTTCTCCTCCATGTAGTTGCTGTAGTTCACGCCCACCGTGTCCGGGCTGCCCACCATCTTCCCGCCTTTGGCCACGCTGCATTCATCAGGCGAGTTCCTGGTGGAAGAAGAGGAGAGAAATTCTTCACTATTACTTCAGCCAAGGAGCGTGATGCTAGGGTCGTGTGATACCCAGAGCGCCCAGGAAGGGTCGGAGGAAGAAACCCAGGCAGGAAGGAGGGGAGAGGAGCAGAAAGGCAGGCAAAGCACCGGTGTGGTCTGACTATCCGTGTCTCCCGAAACTCACAGGTGGAGGCCTGAGCCCCCAGTGTGATAGTTTTTTGAGGTAGGGGCTTTCAGGATGAATCCAGTTAGATGAGGTCCTGCAGGTGGAACCCTGGGGTGGTACCACTGCTTTTCTAAGAAGGGGGTGAGAGCAGAGCCCTGGTTTCTCTGTCTCTCCGTCATGCGACATGGCCCTCTGCAACCCCAGGAGAGAGCCCTCACCAGCCACCAGCCACTGGCACCTCGATGCATTTAGGAATAAATTCAAGTCCTTTCAACCTCCATCTAGCACAGAGGGGACAGGGCTGCCACCTGGTGTCTGTGCTATGAGCCAGCTCTTCCTGAAACCGTCATGGGAAACTGTCTGTGGCCGCTGCCTGGGGACCCCTGCAGGGAACACTGAGCTGCTGCGTACTCTCCCTGGGTGACAGGAAACAGATGCCGCGAGGTGGCACCGGGGACACTTTGCAAGGATTCGGACTGACGTTTCCCTTGAAACCTCAGGATGAAATCCTTTTATTTATTTATTTATTTATTTATTTATTTATTTATTTTGTCTTTCTGAGACAGGGTCTCACTATGTAGTTCAAGCTGGTCTTGAGCTCACTTTGTAGCTCAGGCTGGTCTCGAACTCATGACGATCCTCCTGCCTCAGCCTCCCAAGAGCTGGGATTACAGGCGTGCGCCTCCACGCCCGGCTCTGATGAAATCTTAATGTTGGACTTCACACCCCTGCAGCCAATCGCAGGGTCGGCAGCTTTGGAGAGTCGCATTGACAGTTGGGTGCAGGCAGAAGGGTAAACAGGGTGGGACAGCTGGGAAAGGCAGCAAGAGCTTGGACCCCAGTGGTGAGAGGAGAAGGAAGCGGAAGTAGCAGAGTGGAGTTGGCTGCTGGCCTCGGGAAAGACCCCCAAGACCGACTTAGTAAGGCATTCACATAAAGACAGACATGGCTTTCTGACAAAGTGGAAAAAAAGAGGACTTGGGGATTTGAAAACTCCAGGACATGGTGATATCAGACTTAATAGAGAAATATGAAATCGAACTTAAGCACGAGACAAAGAAATACACTGATGTCTTTTGAGATGGTTAACCCGTAGACAGTAACCCAGGGGTGGGCAGGCCACAGTGAACCCTGGGCATCGTGGCAGAGGAGTGTCCATATTCCAATTATATCTCCTAAGGTGGATTTCCGGAAGTCCCTGGCAAGCTTTCCCAACACATACTCTTTCTACCTGCTTGGGGACCCAGGAGCCTTCACTTCCTCTGGATTGCAGGTTTCCATCCCGTATTTAAGGCTATGGTTCCACTGCAGTGAAACCTTGTTTGTGTCCTCCATCCTGTGTCGGATGGAGTTCTGCAGCGAATTTGTGGAAGTGGAAAGGTACAGGTTTGATATGGACTTGACCTTCGAGTCTGAGAAGGTCAAAGCCATTCGAGGTAAGAGGACATTCGCTGGAGCAGGAGGGGACAGGGCTGAAGTAGGGTAGAAAAGTTCACTCCACACCCTGAGACAATGGCAGGGGTGTGGACAGGAAGGGGTGACTGGGGGTCTCGGTGTCTCTTTAGAGTTTTTCAGCATCTGTGTTGTGGTTTAGATCTGAAATGTACCCCAAAAGCTCATGTGCCAAAGGTTCGGTCCCCAGGGCAGCTGCAGAGGTGCTTAGGGGAAGGGACTGGGCCATGGGGACTCTGACTTATCAGCGGATTCATCCATCCATGGTTCCTAGTCCCATGGGCTACTGGGAGGTGGTGGGAATTTAGGAGGTGGCTTAGTGGGAGGGAGTGGGTCCTCGGGACGTGCCTTGAAGGGTCATGTTTTGTCCCTAGCTCTTCCTCTTGCTCTCTCTTTGCTTCCCAGCTCCCCCACGGCTCCCTGCATGATGCTGCTTCACCACTGGCCTAGAAACCATGGAGCCAAGGGGCCACGGACTGAAACTTCTGAGCCCAAATAAACTTTTCCTCCTTTAAGTTGACTTCTCGGGTATTTTGTCAAAGGGATGGAAAGTTGGCAGATACAGTCTGGGAACCCTGAAAGGCAGGTTCACTTGCGAATGTGCGTGGGGTCTGTGCAAGGATCTCGGAGCTGACAGCCAGGAGAAGGCAGGGCCAGCCATGGATGGAGGTCAAAGCCAGGGGTGCTCGGGACTGAGGCCTCGCTGGGGTCTTCAGCTACACGGCCCTGCTCCGCGCATCCCCATAGCCGAACTAATAGGACAGAGATTTAAAAACCCTAACAGAGTTCCCATGGAGTAGATCCCGGATGTTTCTCATGCTGCCGACACCAGCATTATTTCCTCTGGATGCTATTTTTGTTGGCTTCAAATGTTTATCTCTCAAAGACCCATCCTAATATCAAAACACAGAATATCTTCACTTGAGTCTTGGTTTCCTATAACTTTGGAAAATTCCATGAGTTGAGAGGAGCGTGTATATTTTGGTGTATTTGTCTCAAGGAGGGAAGTTACCAGGAAAGAGAAGTGAGAGGGTTTGGTTCTCTAGGAAAATGATTTTAGATGACAGATAGTGCCAGATGTTGGTGGTGACAACTCTGAAGTCTACATGCAGCCACCCACTCACTCATTTAGGCAGTTTTTATTGAGCATTTGTTATAAACGAAGCACCATCACAGAATTAAAAAATAGAGGACATTGTGAGGTATGGGCTTTTTTCATTTTTTTTAATTCTCTGTAGTTTAATTTCTACGTCAGAGCACAAGAACTCCATGCATGGACTACAGGAGTTTTTCAATGGCATGAAAATAGAACCTTCATCAAATCTGGATTTGATAACCTATTAAGTTGCCAGTGCTTTCCAAAAGTATGCCTAAATATTTAAAATAGGGGCAATGTTTAGTAACTTATTTGCCTTTCATTTTATTGTAATTTATCTCTTTAAGTTTTCCCATCCCAGCTTTGATCATGGAAAACGGAAAAACAAGACCATCAGACCCTATTCACAAAACTTATGTTTTTAAGGCAATGAAAATATACATATAATCATTTATCACCACTGTGTTTAGCTTTAGTTCCTGAGCCAGAGAGAATGAAGCCGTGGTTTTGATCATTCTAAATGGGTGTTTAAATGACTTTAAGAAAACTAACCCCAAAGAAGAAAGGGTTACTCTCCGGGGTCACTGACACCCTGAAGCCAAAGCTGGCCGTCAACAAATACTGATTAAATAGCCCCGGATTGTTCTGTTCTCATTTTATTTCCCTTTGTTAGTTCCCTGGGGAAAGAGTTATGTAACAAACACGCACCCTGCCTAGCAATGAGGACCCTCATGAGAGTCTGTGTGGCGAGAGCTGTCATTGTTTCTGCTTCCCAGTGCACGGGGACAAGGCAGAACTGAGATGGAAATCGGGGCACCTTGAATGCCCTGTCCCCCGCAGAGAATGCTTCACACACAGAGGCAAGACGCTCAGGGCAGGAAGGCAGAGTCCATGTGGCTTTGGGGAAAGCACCCGCAACTCCCTGGTGCAGCTGTCCCTGCATCACAGCATTCACTCTGCCACTGTCACTCTGGCCCCAGGAATGTCCTAGCCTCAGAACAGCAGGGGTGCCACAGAGCCAGAGGTATGCAAGATGCAAATAAGAAAAGAGGCAACTGCTTCAGAAGAAAGGAAATTTTCAGAGGTATCTATTTCGATACTGCTTCACTGAAGAAAAAGAAATCTCACCGTGGTTCACAGGATTGAAAAATGTGCCTTGAAAGGTCTCACTGTGAACACATTCAAAACTCTGTCCCTTACTCCCAATACTGCATTGTGAGTTCCAAGGCTCACACAGCCCCAGGATGGAACTTCCCACACACCTTGTATTCCACCTGCGCCGGGCACACAGACAACAGAGGACCTCGTGTGCCCCACTCCAGCAGGACGAGGACACCAGCACCCAGCACATTGCCTTGAACGTGATACAGCAATGAGCATCCCTTCCCAGCTGCACTCTCAGTACCTGCCTGTGTGTATGTTGCACCAGGTCCTGGAGAAATTCTGAAGCTATTCCCTACATGCTTGTCCAAAGCGTAGTCATTTGCTTACTACGAAATGCATCTACCTTACGGTTTAGGGCATACATTTCCTTACTGCAATAAGCACGGTTCAAGGCATCATTCTCAAAGACACTTTCCTTTAAGGATGTACAAAAATCACTGTATCTTCACCATCTTCTCAAACCCACATTTCTAGGTCCAGTTTCTATTTTGACCTTCTAAACACTGGTATAGACAATTCCAGATAATATGGGACATCAGCTGAAGGCACACGAGCTGGGAAGACAGTACCTCCCTCTCTCACAGCAGCAGAATTCTCCTAATGGGTGCGCCCGCCTAAGTAGGGAAGGCTGGCTCAGAATAAAAACTTAAGAAAGAAAAAACAGTGGCCAGGGTGCCAAAAGGATGGCTGCCTACAAGAAGGCACCGAAAAGATGGCTGCCTCTACCCAAGATCTTCCTAACCTGCTCACGACCACACACCTTAAGCAATTTAGCTGCTGCAGCAGTTTCATTTTCCCATGGCATTTGGCCATAATTATGATCACTGTAAAAAGTCAAGAAATAGTGTGGAAAGATGATTAAACCCTTACGATGAAGACAGTGGAGTGCTGGTGACCTTCTACTGATGACTGCAGATCTGTGCCCAAGGGAATCGGCCTGTTCAACCTCAAATATATACTCACCTTCCATAGCAGTTAGAGAATATGTTTTGATGTTGGAGGTCATGAGCACTAACTTCTTAGAACACATTAGTATTCTGAGTTGATGCTAAAAAAAAAAAAACCGTGGCAAAGCATATCTGGTAAATTGGACATTTTCCTAAATTTAAATTAAGGT